GTGTTCTTCGGGCCAAATCGTCTAAATGGCTCTAAGGAACAGCTGTACCAAGTGGCACCTTGGTATAAGAAAATGCAGTATCTTTTGGTATACCGCTAGTACTAGTGTTATTTCTCCAGTCCTCTTCAATGTGTACACCAAAAATATTCACGACGATAGCATAGACGGTCAACTAATTCAATACGCAGACGACTTTGTAGTCTACAATTCGAATTGGAAAATTGAGGAATGCTCTCATCACAACATATCTGTAATATCTAAAAAGATGGATTCTGTAGGGTTCGCGCTAACGTCTGAAAAATCGAATGTCACCATATTCACCAGACATATAACATTCGAAACATCGAAGCGGTACATAATAAATAATAATGTCTCGTACCAAGTTTCTAATATGGATTCGTATTTAGGTTTTAAACGGGGGCGGGACACTTCGCCGAATGCCCACAACGCCGACCCGATTTTTGGATGGTCCATATCGCCGACTAGGGACACTACGCCGACGGACACTACGCCGACAGTGCCCACATCGCCGACAAGTGGACAAGGTGTGAAAATTGTACCCTGGATCTTATCTTGATACAACCATACTCAAAATCAAAGATATTGAATAATATTGACAAGCTTTTTAATTTGTTTATAGAATACAACTACTTCAATTATTTTTTATAACATTCACTCCTTGATACTTTATACAAAGTTTGTACAGAACACTTTTCAACACCTTCCCTCAAACTTTGCACAACAATGTTCATCACTTTCAGTTCATTAACACATCCCTAAACCGTTTAAATTTAATTGGCAATAATGGCTTAGTAAGTATGTCGGCTATTTGATATTCGGTGGGACAATGTATTAAATCAAATACACCTTCACTTAATTTTTCACAAATGAAATAATACCGCACATCAATGTGTTTGCTGCGCTGATTAAACTTCCCATTTTTTATTAGTGCGATTGTGCTCGTGTTATCAATTTGAAATTTAATTTTTAAATTTTCGCCTATCAACTCTTCAATCAAGGCTTTCAAAAATAAAACTTCCTTCAGAGCTTCAGCTGCACTTATGAATTCAGCTTCCATAGATGAGAGTGCTACGATGGGTTGCCGTCTTGAACACCAGCTTATTGGTGTTCCATTAAGGAAACATACATATCCAGTAGTACTACGTCTACTTTCTAGATCATTAGCATAATCGCTATCCGTGTACACTACCATCTCATTCAAATTTCCATTCTTTTTGAAGAACAAACCTAAATGTTTGGTTCCTTTCAAATATTTTATTGTACGTTTTACATTTTTTACATCCGAGTCTGATGGATTTTCCAGGTATCGAGATTCCTTTCCAACAGCAAAACTGATGTCCGGACGTGTTTTTGAACTGAGGTAGAGCAGGCTTCCTACTGCTTCACGATATGGGAAAATACCTTTTAAATTTCGATCAGTCTCATCTTTTGTCATGATTGGTATTTCCGAATCCTTAGCATTAGTCAAACCAAATTTTTCTGCTACTTGTTCGCAGAACAAAGACTGTGATAAACGAATTCCATTCGTTTCTTGTGAAATTTCCATTCCTATGAATGTTCCTGCTGAATGATCTACTGTAATTTCGAACATCTTTTTGATATTGTTCAAAATTTCATCTACCTCTTGCAAATTCTTCCCCACAATTATTCCGTCGTCCACGTATACAGCAAGATAGACAGTATTTGATTCATTTTTAAAAATACAACTATCGCATTTTAGTGGTTTCAGTCCAATTTTGTTGAGCCTCTTCGTCAAAGTTTGATTCCACAATAACGGTGATTGTCTTAACCCATATAAACTTCTCTGTAACTTACATATCATTCCTTCCTTCTTTGGATAACCTTCCGGAATTTGCATGAATGTTTCGTCTTTCAGTTCCCCATGAAGAAACGCTGTTTTTACATCAAAGATTCTTATTTTAAATTCTTTAGCAGCAGCAGACGATAGTAAGAAGTACTCGCAAACTTGTCATATTTACCACAGGACTATATGTTTCTTGAAAATCTATTCCTCTTTCTTGTTGAAAACCTCTTACAACTAGTCTAGCTTTCCTGGTTCCATTTTCTTTTCCTTTGAATATCCATTTGCTATTCAAAATTTTTGTGCCTTTCGCTTCTTCGGTTTTTACAAGAATCCAGGTTTTGTTTTTCGCAATAGACATTTTTTCCTCATTTATCGCTTTCTCCCAAAGCTCTTTATCTACACTTTTCATTACGTCAGTGTATGTTAACATAACGTAATCATTAAAATATGCTGGTCGTCCCAGACGAGTTCGATCTCTTAGTCCTAGAAGGCCCTTTCTGTTCAGATCTGCATTATTTCCTTCTTCAGAATCCGTGTCGTCCATGATATCAGAATTAAAATGATTTTCGTCACTGTCATTCTGATATTCTGGCAACAGCATATCATTATACGACTCATCAGCATCACCATTACGTTCTTGTTCCAGCAAATCCAAATTAACAATTTGTGGTTCTCTAACAATCTGAGAAACATCTTCAGATGATTTTGTTTCTTTTACAAATTGCACATCTCGTGAGATTACAATTCTTTGTTTGTTTTCATCCCAGCAACGATATCCAATTGCTGAATAACCAACCAATTTCAATTTTACCGATTTTGATTCCAATTTCTTTGTACTCGGCAAAACCTTTACATACACGTCACTACCAAAAATTTGTAAATTCTTCAAATTTGGTCTAATGCCTGTCCAGGCCTCAATTGGAGTTTTACCAATTATCGCTGATGATGGTGACCTATTTGTTACATAACAAGCTACTCTTAATGCTTCATTCCAGAACGTCTTTTCAATTTCAGCGTCAAACAACAGTGCACGCATTTTTTTCGCACAATGTACGATTTAGACGTTCCGCTTTTCCATTAAGCTGTGGACTGTACGGAGTGGTCCAATTTATAACAATTCCTTTGTTCGCACACCAATCTTTTAATCGCAGAAATTCTGTACCATTATCGCATTTCAGAACTTTAACTTTCTTACCCTTTTGTGTTTCCACCTTGTTGATAAATTTCTTGACTATTTCTACCACATCCGACTTCTTTTCAAAAGGATAAACTTCACAATAATGAGTATAGTCGTCTAAAAATGAGACAAAGTACTTTTCTTTACAATACGATTCATGTTCTATTTGACACACATCCGTGTGTATAATTTCTAGTTCCTCCGAAGCTTCTGGAAGACTACCTAAGAAAGGTGTTCTTGCATGTTTCGCTTTTATGCAAACTTCACAAGCGAAATCTTTATTTTCTCTAAATTGTATGCCGTCAGCCATGCTACAAAGATTTTTCAAATTTGTACCACCAAGATGTCCCAGCTTCTTGTGCCATATTTCTTGTGTCAGTAGGACTTTGGGTTTTTCACTTTCTATGTTTACGGCGTACCAGCCTTGATTTGTTTTCCTTCCCTTAATCAAAACTTCACCATCCTTTCTTATAATAACACTATCTTTCTCAAATACTACGTCTCCGCCATTCTGTGTAATTTTGGTGACGGATATGAGATTTGTGCTTACATCAGGAACGTACGCCACATTTGTAAGATCACACTTGTTACCTTTTATGGTTCCCGTAGCTGTTCCCGCCATTTTACAGTTGTTTGCAACTGTAAATTCGAGTTCTGCATGTTTTACATTTTCCAACAATCTTATATCATTCGTCATATGACAACTGGCTCCACTGTCCACGATGAAATTCCCATCAGGGTCATTACCTGTTAATGATTGTCCCTATTTCTAAAGAAACATTTGCTTGTGTCGTGATTGTTACGTTTGCAGATGGTACAATGCAGTCTTTCCGGTTGTCTTAGGTCGTTGTTAGAATTCGAACGATCTAAGTTTCTTTTACAATCACGTGCAAAATGTCCTCGCTGATTGCATTTTCTACATCGGTACTTAGTCCTTTCCGCAATTTTAAATGCAATAGCTTCCACTGGAATGTCATCAGATTTCGTTTTTAGTTCCTCCGTTGAAAGACGTGCCACCAGGTTTGATAGCGTCCTTTCTCCTACAGCAGTAGATTCCCATGCACTTGCAAAATGAGAAAATGTGTCAGGTAACATTAATAATATTTTTGACATTAGCATAGTATCCGATACATTTTCGTTTAAAGACTTTAACCTGAATGCAATGTTTTGTAGTGATGCAACATTTTCCGCAACACATTGTCTATCATCAAATTTGAATTGATAGAATTTACTTAACAACGTACATTTCAAGGTATCGGTATCACGCTCAAAAATACTTTTTAGTGCGTCATACATTTCTTTTCCCGTACTTTTGGTCATTAAATGTATGACCACGCTTTTATCTACTGTAGTAATTAAGATTTTTTGAACCTTGGCATCCTGTCTTTTCCATTTAGAAATTATATTTTCAACTGCAGTTTTACCTTCTCCTTCTACCGGTTCAGGGCATAATTCTGTACCGTCAACGTGTCCGTAAATACCCGCCGCTTTCAACAGAATATCTATTTGAAACTTCCACAGAGAGTAACCCTCTGAATCCTTAAGTTTTTCTATGGAGTTCAGCTCATTTTGTTGTTCCGCCATTGTTCCAGTTTGTGACATCTGTCGTTATTTTTCAACTGCAAGGCACCAACTTCCAAGCTAATCCTTTTTTAGTTATTTCAAGTTCTCCAACCACGCTCTGCTACCATGTGAAAATTGTACCCTGGATCTTATCTTGATACAACCATACTCAAAGGTTTAACGTCCAGTAGTTCAAGCTATAAAGATGCAGTTGAGCTTTTAAAGGAGCAGTACGGAAATAACGAAAAAATTGCCGATAACTACACTCAACAGCTGTTAGCTTTAACTCCAGTCAAAACCACAAATGATGTTTCATTGAGAAAATTATACAATACAGCTTCAAAAATAACGCGATCTCTGCAGACGCTGGGAGTGTCTCCACAAAATTATGGGATGATGGTGAAATCTATTTTATTAAAAGCACTACCCTTTACTATGAGAACTGAATTCCTCAAACGACAGGTTACAACTAATGATAATGATGATAACGAGTCTGTTGCTGGAAGTGTCATAAGTTCTAAAGAAATCTCATATGAACATCAAATTTCTCAACTTTTAAACTTTATTAAGTTAGAAGTAGAATCAATTGAACAGGCTAAAGTTTTGGAAGATGAGCCTAAAAGTAACGAGAAAAATTCAGTTCACAAAAATAGATTTCAGAAATCTAGTGATAAAACGTGCACAGCAGCAGGTTTGCTTACATCTGTAAAAGAACAGTGCTTGTTTTGCAACTCTAACGATCATGGCGCGATGGATTGTGATAGCAAAATAACGCTGGCGCAAAAGAAAGAGATTTTAAAATCTAAAGGGTGCTGTTTCCGATGTACCAAGTCGAATCACAATTCAAGGTTTTGTCGAGTAAATGTATCTTGCGCAAAGTGTAAAGCGAAACACGCAACGTCTATGTGTGATCCAGATTATAAGAAGAAATCTGCAACTGTAACTGAATCCACGAAAAATGACGCATCGAGTAGTAAATTTGAGTCGACAAATTTGTTAGCGAACGGGTGCTTAGGCAAAATAATTTATTTACAAACCGCTTGTGCACAAATAATAACGAACAGTGGCCTACCTAAGAGTTTTTTACGTATGGTTATAGATGGAGGTAGCCATTTAACTTTTATCAAAGAATGTGTGTCACGAAAGCATAACTTACCTGTTATAGGGACACACAAAATATCGATAATGCCTTTTGGAAAATCTGAAAGGGCTCCGGCTCGCTTATGTCGAAAAGTATCATTAACGTTGAAAAGCGAGTATATTAACGATGAGGTGACTATCAACGCGATTGAAGTGCCCGAAATTTGTTTTGATTCATTGAGCGCACCGTCATTAAAAGAACCATTGATACATGAGTTCAGCATAAATTATCGATTAGCGGATTTGTGCGACTCTAACGTTAACGTTCATCATGGAATATCGCTTTTAATTGGTTCTGATTTTTATTGGAAGATAGTGACCAATAACACGAAGAAAATCACTGAAGACTTGATGGCGATCGAAACCAAATTTGGTTGAACAATTCACGGTGTAGGCAGCGGACATTTTAACGAATACGCGTTTTCGGTCGGGATTAACGTGGCGAACATTTTACACGTACAGTGCGAGCTCGATTGTGAGACTGTTGGTAACGGGTTAGAAAACTTTTGGACTCTTGAAACAATCGGGATAAACAATGATAACGTGACGGACAAATCTCATACAAAACACTTTTTAGATGAGAATATAACTTTTGAAAACGATAGATATTGTGTTGCCATGCCTTGGATAGAGCCAAACGTACGGGTTGATTCTAACTTTAACGGTGCCTTCAATAGGCTAAAGTCATTAACGCGCAAACTCAACGAACGCGGCAAACTTCGGGAATACGATTGTGCGATGCGTGAATACATGAACAATGATTGTGCCGAACTTTTACCGGAAGTGACAAATGACATTCGAATTTATTTTATGCCGCACCGGGCGGTATATCGGGATGACAAAGACACTTCAAAATTAAGGATCGTGTTTGACGCGTCGGCGCACGCCCCTGGTATGCCTTCGTTAAATGACGTACTTTTGCAAGGCGAAAATTTAGTGCCGTTTCTTTTACGAATTTTAATGAACTTTCGTGTCGGACGAGTTGCATTTACAGCCGATATCGAGAAAGCTTTCTTGCAAATCGCTATAGCAGAACGCGATCGTAATTCTCACAGTTTTTTGTGGTATAGCGTTCCTATTGATGACGTCAATAATCTTCCACGAATATCAAAATACCGAATGAAACGTGTAACGTTTGGGATTAAGTGCAGTCCCTTCTTGCTGGCGGTTACACTTAAGAAACTTTTACAATCGCAGCCGGAAAATCTAGCAGACACTTGCGAAATTCTGAGGTCTTCATTCTATGTGGATGACTTGGTAGTAGCAGTTGATAACGTAACTCAAGCCAAACGTATTTACCAAGAGTCTAAAGAAATTTTAGCTAAGGCTAATATGAATTTACGTAAGTGGAACAGCAATAACGTTTCGCTCAGAAAATTGATGAAATGCGAGGAAAACGTTAATGCCAAGAAAGTACTTGGAATTTTATGGTACCATATCGATGACGAGTTAGCAGTAGATATAACTTCAATTTTAAATGAAATCGATAATAAATCTATAACGAAACGTGGGGTGCTACAAATAGTATCGAAAATTTATGATCCACTTGGCTTTATGAGTCCCTTTTTGGTAAGAGCAAAGATATTGCTCCAAGAAATTTGGAAACTTAAGGTCGACTGGGATTCAACCACACCTGATAATATCACCAATGAATGGTTGAGATGGTGTTTTGAACTGAAATCTTTGAAACATTTTTCGTTTACCAGATGTGCACTCGAAGACAGAAACTCCGAAGTTTCACTTCACATTTTTGCGGACGCGAGCCCAAAGGCGTATGGAGCAGTGGCGTATCTCAGAGTAGTTAACGAAAACGAAGTCGAATGTAACTTTATCATGTCTAAGGGTAGAGTAGCTCCAATTGACAAAAAGGGAGATAAGAGCTTAACGTTACCAAAACTGGAACTCACCGCGGCAGTCTGTGCAACTCGACTTCAGAAATTTATACTTGAAAATATTGACGTTAAATTTCATTCCTGCACTTTGTGGACAGATTCGAAAATAACGATATATTGGATCATGGGCAAAGCTGACAGGTGGAAACCGTATGTTCGCAGTCGTGTAACTGAAATTAAGAAGAACTCAGTTGGAGTATGGCGCCATTGTCCAGGGGCAGAGAATCCAGCAGATTTACTAACGAGGGGTGTAACATCTAAAGGTCTTATGACATCGGAAGTTTGGAAACATGGACCTAATTGGCTGAAATTTAAACCAGAAGAATGGCCTGAAGAAGATATCGCGATAGGATCTGAAGCATCTGTTTTGCTAGTACAAGGAGAAGAAGTAATCCAGAATAACGAACCAATCTTCAAACTTGAGAGATTTAGTAGTTTGGAGAAAATCTTTCGCATTACCGCTTATGTTAAAAGATATTACCATAATCTAAGAAATAAAAAGAACAAAAGAACTGGAAGCTTGAAGGCTCAAGAGTTAAAGGAGGCTGAAAGATATTGGATAAAGGTAACTCAAGGACAGCATTTTTCAAGTGAAATAGCTGACCTAAGGCGAGGTAAAAAAATTGAACCCTCTTCTCGAGTTTTAACGCTAAGTCCCTTTCTTGATGAAGACGATATAATGAGATTAGGAGGCCGTTTACAGGAAAGCTCCTTACCGTACCAAACGAAATATCCTGTGGTGTTACCTAAAACGTCATTTCTAACGGATAAACTTATTTCGAACTCTCATGTTTCCACAATGCATGGTGGAGTAAACGTGACGATGGTACATATAAGAAAACGATTTTGGATTTTACAATGCAGGCAAAGAGTAAAATCTATACTGAGCAAATGCATAATTTGCAAGAGATTACGAGCAAAACCTGGCAATGAACCTTTTGCACCCTTACCAAGAAGTAGGGTGTCTTCAGCAGAACCATTTAAGGTAACGGGCCTAGATTTCGCTGGACCTCTATACATTATCAACGAATCGAGGCGGCAAAAGGCTTACATCATGCTGTTAACGTGTGCTGTGGTACGTGCCGTACATCTTGAAATAGTTCCTAATCTAACAGCAGAGAGCTGTATTAACGCATTTAGACGGTTCATTTCAAGAAGGGGAGTTCCGGATATCATTTATTCCGACAACGCGAAAACATTTAAGAGAACAGCTTTAGAATTGAAAGAATTATACAAAATAATTTGCACCGATAAATTTCAAAATTTTGTCACAGGACGTCGCATTGAATGGAGATTTATTGTGGAGCGCGCCGCGTGGTGGGGCGGATTTTGGGAACGGATGGTCAAAACTGTAAAAGATGCTCTAAAATTGTCACTTGGAAAGAAATCCCTTGATTGTGACGAATTACAAACCATCATTTCAGAAATTGAAGCTACGGTGAATATGAGACCGCTTACCTACTTGGATGATCAGCCCGAAAATTTAATGTTTTTGACACCAGCACATTTCCTTTTGGGTAGTAACGAATGTGGATTTGGTGACAAGCTTTTTAATTTGTTTATAGAATACAACTACTTCAATTATTTTTTATAACATTCACTCCTTGATACTTTATACAAAGTTTGTACAGAACACTTTTCAACAACAAGGGACACAACCCCGACCATGCCCACATCGCCGACAGGTGTACAAGGGACACAACGCCGACCATGCCCACTTCGCCGACGGACACTACGCCGACCGTGCCCACATCGCCGACAAGTGTGCAAGGGACACTAGGCCGAACGTGCCCACAACGCCGACTATTCGGAAAAAAATTACTAGGGACACTACGCCGACAGCGACCACATCGTCGACAATGGAGAAGTTTCCAGTTTTTTGTTATTAATTAATTATGACAATTCCTCCACAAATGGCAAAGTTACAAGACTTTCAAGTTGCGATTGGAAAAATAATTTCGAGACGTCACTTCATCTAGTTTGCTAAGAGCATGCCTTGACCATGCGATCAAAAAAGAGTGGAGTCGCCTATGAATCGCCTTTACAAATTTTTGTTTGTATGGGAAATCGTATTTCGTGGAATTACGTAAAATGACGTCACCGACACTGCCGTTCCGCGCTGAATACCTAAACTTAAATAATATATTTCTCAGTCATTTATTGCCGGATTTTGAAATTTCTTTTACTGGTTTATTAGTTTTGATCTATACTTTGATGTCATTAGGCTTAATATAGTAAGTAATATCATGTGGTTGAACGGTAAAAGATTAATGAATATCGCGATTCTTAAATTTCACATTTAGTCAAACAAAGCGAACAATAACTAGGGCTGATTGTATAAAGGCTGGTTGAACTTCGCTTGTAGTTAACAACTGGATTAAGGTATAAGAATGGTTAAAATTTGACGTTTTGTCAAACTTCAACCAATTAGGTATCTTAACCCATTGATATAATCCAAACGAGGTTTAATCTGCTTTATACAACCGACCCTTATGTCCGTCAAGAATCAAGACGGGATTCATGAAACTAGATTAGCAAATACGATCTTAAATAAACAACCAGTTATAATCGATCATTTGCGCATGAATCTACCATTATATCAACTATTCTTATTGGTGACGTTTTCTGTCAATCCCAGAATTAATCTTCGATCTCGGATCAATCTACGAGTTAGTACGGGCATTAGTGTCCGCTTTACTAACAATGACACTTACTAAAAATCTTATATTGCTTGGCCACCTTGGATTATAAGGTACGGTGCAATTCCATTCTGGTGCTAATCAATGATTAACTTTGACCATCGTTTATATAATAAAGATTTATTTTTAATGTTTAATGTGTACAGAATATGCTAAACAAGATTAGTTCATATTTTATGAATTTAATATTAACATAAGCACATATTTTAACAAATGAATTACTTTTTACTCCGTATTCACATCTTCTCATAGTGGAATACATCCGTTTTTTCTCATAAAATATATTTTTATTTCAATTTGCTACCCCTCTTCAGCTAATTTCTTAAAATGTACTCATTATCTATTCAATATCCATAAGGGTTTTAGAAATTCTAATCCGTTTTTCTTATTCCTCGAGCAATAATGAAATAACCTTTTCTGTAAATGTACGCTCTGCTTAATTTGCGCCTGCTATTTCCTGTCGGTCTCTGTATTCCCATTATGCTCTACCATAAATTTACCAAAATGTTGTCTTAAAATCTGCATAGTTGCAGGTTTTTCTTAGAAAAACCCGTAAATACGGAATTGCGGATTAATGTTTAAAGTAGGTGCCGCTCTTAGTAAAATATTGTTTACAGGTAGAGTGAGAATTTTCACCCTTTACTATGGGAACCTTTGCTGTCGGTCTCTGTATTCCCATTATGTATATTCCATCGTGACTTTATCAAAATGTTGTCCCAACATCTGCATAGGTAATTGAAGGTTTTTCTTAGAAAAATCTGTATTAGGATCATAGGTAAATACAGAATTGCGGATTAATGTTCAAAGAAGGTGCCGCGCTTAGTAAAATATTGTTTACAGGTAGTGAGATTTTTTACCTTTTTCTGTACATAGGAACTTATACTACGGTAATTACTAACTGCATTTTAAACCAAGAAAGAATTTCTTTTAGTACAAACAAGGTAAATGTGTATTACTGTTTGTGGGGGTTGCAAATTATTCATAAGTAGGAACTAATTTACGACCTGCTTTAATTTTGCTATGACATGACGTCAGATAATGTGACGAAACGCCAGTGAAACAAAGTTACACACTTTAGTTTTAAGGCGGCTATTCACTACGCGGTACTTGGCAAGTACTCGTACTCGTTCAAGTACATGTACAAGTGCAAGTATCTTCTACACACTATGCTGATACTCGGCGAATAGAGATTTTCGCGGCAATCGCAAGCACAAGTATTTATTTGCTAAAAAACATGGAACTTGACAGTGAAACTGAAGCGGCAGCTGCGTTTGTGGTCATCAGCAGTGGTTATCTTTTAATGAAAAACTTTGAAACTTTGTTTAAGCAGTTTCTAAAAGTGGCCATCAGGGAATCATTTTTCTTCTTCCAATCCGTAATAGAAATTTGTGCAGAAAATTCTGCCTGTATTCGCTTCCACGCATCGTAAACGTCTTTACGGTTTTTATGTTGTGCGTGGGAAGGGTCCCAAATAACTGCTTCTCTTTCATATAGATCCAAAAATTCAAAAGTTACCTCATTTGACCACTCCATCATCACTTTTACACTGTTACCTCGGCAAGTAATGTAGCGCGACTGAAAAACTTTCCGCGCTCCCTACTTCAGAACCTTTGACTTTGGGATATTTACCGACTGCGGTTGGCAAGTACAAGTAGTGCGACAAGTTTCAAGTCATTTTCATACACACTACTTGGCACTTGCCAAGTACTTGCCAAGTACCGCGTAGTGAATAGCCGGCTTTATACGCACTGAAATAACTTGCATTGGCGAAGAATAAAAATAATGAATTTTACCACCGTGCCACCCTTTGAATTTGTGTTTATCTCGATAATTTCGGTGATTTGACAATTTTTGATAACACGATACCAATGTAAGTGAAAAAACGCTTAAAATATTTACACCTAGGTAGCAAATTGAAATAAAAATATAGTTTATGAGAAAAAACGGATGTATTCCACTATGGGAAGATGTGAATATGGAGTAAAAAGTAATTCATTTGTTAAAATATGTGCTTATGAACATTAAATTCATAAAATATGAACTAATCTTGTCTCGAATCTTGTTTAGCATATTTTGTACACATTAAACATTAAAAATAAATCGTTACTCAATTACATAAACGATGGTCACAGTTAATCATTGATTAAAAGTACCAGAATGGGATACACCTTACCTTATAATCCAAGGTGGCCAAGCAATATAAGATTTCTAGTAAGTATCATTGTTAGTAAAGCGGACACTAATGCCCGTACTAACTCGTAGGTTGATCCGAGATCGAAGATTAATTCTGGGATTGACAGAAAACGTCACCAATAGTAATTGATATAATGGTAGATTCATGCGCAAATGATCGATTATAACTGGTTGTTTATTTAAGATCGTATTTGCTAATCTAGTTTCATGAATCCCGTCTTGATTCTTGACGGGCATAAGGGTCGGTTGTACCTATAAAGCAGATTAAACCTCGTTTGGATTATATCAATGGGTTAAGATACCTAATTGGTTGAAGTTTGACAAAACGTCAAATTTTAACCATTCTTATAGGTACCTTAATCCAGTTGTTAACTACAAGCGAAGTTCAACCAGCCTTTATACAATGAGCCCTAGTTATTGTTCGCTTTGTTTAACTAAATGTGAAATTTAAGAATCGCGATATTCATTAATCTTTTACCGTTCAACCACATGATATTACTATATTAAGCCTAATGACATTAAAGTATAGATCAAAACTAATAAACCAGTAAAAGAAATTTCAAAATCCGGAAATAAATGACAGAAATATATTATTTAAGTTTAGGTATTCAGCGCGGAACGGCAGTGTCGGTGACGTCATTTTACGTAATTCCAGGAAATACGATTTCCCATATAAACAAAATTTTTAAAGGCGATTCATAGGCGATACCACTCTTTTTTGATCGCATGCTCAAGACATGCTCTTAGCAAACTAGGTGAAGTGACGTCCCGAAATTATTATTCCAGTCGCAACTTTAGTCTTGTAACTTTGGGATTTGTGGAGTAATTTTATTGATTCTATCACATTTTTGTTTCATTTTACTTAAATTTTCATAATTAATTTATACCAAAAAGCTGGAAACTCCTCCATTGTCGACGATGTGGTCGCTGTCGGCGTAGTGTCCCTATAGTAATTTTTTTGCGAATAGTCGGCGAATAGTGTCCCTAGTCGGCAATATGGACCATCCAAAAATCGGGTCGGCGATGTGGGCATTCGGCGTAGTGTCCTAGACCCTTTTAAACTAGACAGAAAACTTGGAAATGTCATATTGAAGATATCGTTACCTTAGACCATGTCTAAGATCGTTACCAAATGCGACAAAGGTCTGAATTTCCTAAACTTCATTAGAATAACCTGGTGGGGAGCCCATATCAAATCATGTCTCATGTTTTACAAAACATACGCACATTCGCTCAATAATTGATTATGGCTGTGTCCTTTACGGGCCCGCAAGGCCGTATTTGTTAAAAAAAAGCGGGAATTGTGCAAAACTCCGCCTTAAGGCTCTGTTTGAGACCATGCGTTCTACACCGACGGAACCATTACGAATCGAAGCGTTAGAACCTCCGCGAAAACTACGCACACATTATTGTTAACGGAAAAATTCATTCTAAAGCTATAGTATACAGTGTGTCCCAGATCGCGTGGGATTGCATGGGTAACTTTGTTATTATTAAAGATAGAGAATTGGTTAAATGGGCAATGTTTTGCAGTTTTTGATGCTTATTTA